GATAAAAAAATATGAAAAAGAAATCAGTAATGAAAGCAGATTTTAAGTTTGCAGCTTTTACACTGGTTTCACTAGTTATTTTCTAAAGATGTTCCTGAAGGTAATTTGGTGTAAATAAGAGAAATCTGTGCTTTTTTTGCATAGAAACTAGTAAACTACCATTAATTCAGTTTTTAAAAAGTTATATTCTCATCAGAATGAGTTTGTTTCCAGTGAAATGGCTGAATTAAGTTCAGACAGCTGCTTTCATTTTTTCTTAATGATGAAATTTATTCACATTTAGAGAAATCTAAATCTCTAAGTTTTCAGTAAAATGACCTGAGTGGTTCCACATAAGAATGGTTGGTATGTGTTTTCATGCATCACAACTTACGATGGGGGATCACAGGGTACCGCTCCTGATGACAGATGAGTAGCTCCAGTTACCCACGAGCCCAGATTTTCCACGTTTGTTTCCCCATCAAATATTACAATGTGCGGTGGAGTACAGGGCCGAGAGAAGCCTTAGAGAGCCATCTCTCAGAGTTAAGAGGGATAACGAGCCCTGAGCTCATGTGAAAAATAAACAGAGGTGCTGTAGGGCCCCAACACCAGTTCAAGTTACCTTTCTCCTCTGGAACAGTTACGCTTCACAGCCTGGGCCCTGGGCCCGATCACCTTACCTGCTGCTGCCACATTAAATAGAGCCATCCAAATATCCTGCTCCAAGATGGCCAATAATTACTTATTCATTGGCAGGAGGGGGAAGAAGGGGTGGGTAGGGGCAGAGTAGAAGAGCTTGCTGATGAATAGAGGCCCTTGTCAAAAGCTGCAGCAGGAAACAGCTGACACAAGAGTATCCTCTTACATACCTGCCTCCTGAGATGCCAGGACAACAAGGTTTCAAGCTTGGCCCCTCAGCCCAGAGCAGACACCCCCTAGAAAGGAATGCAGATAACTGGCAAAAGGGGCAAACAGGACACCAGCTTTGCTCAGAACAAGAATATAATCCTTCTTTCAGCACAGAACAATTTCACTGGTGTTGCTCTTTGGATGCCACCAGCAGTGATAATGCCCCTCCTTTATCTATCAAACACATTCTGCGAGTGAAGTGTTTTTCTATTATCCCAGCATTTAAAGGTACTCTGTGCACTAATGGTAAAGTTTCTTCAGGCTTACTATATCATGTTATTCTTTAGGTACACACCTTTGCTGGGTAACGGTATTCTAAGATTTGTCAAGCTTGTAAAAGTCAAGTTCCTTCAGGTATGACAGATTTCTCGGTATACGCTGCCAGGTGCAAGTGTATGCAATGGCCATAGCTTTCTTGAATTGACAGAACAGAGGTCAGTGGTGTTACTGAACACCTCGGAATATTCACAGGTAGGCTTCTGTTGCTATTCTCCCTGCCAACACCTGATAGACGGAAATCTCACACTCCGGGGGGGCCAGTCAGAGGGCACTGAGGGGCCGCAGGCAGCGGATCACTTAGGTATCACTGGCGCCTCTTGCTGGACGCCAATTTGCTCCTCATTCCACAGCTTTCAAGGGCTTGGAATTCATTCCAATAAGGGTGTGCTTCAATAGCCAATACCTCAGAAGACATGACACCGAACACCCCTTTCTACCGATATGACCGCACGGTGCAGGGAGGGACCACAGCAAATATCTGCCCTCCAAAGCACCTGTTTATCCCTCGGGCACAGTAACCAGCGGGTGAACCCCATTCAATATTTATCCCCGTGGCTTTCACAGATCAGCGGCCCAGGCGAGGCAAACCCTCTTAATTAAAACTGGAGCTTGCTTCAAAGGGCTCCATTCAGGCCGTCAGTCAGCACTCACAGGACAAAAGAGCCCGGGTTATGTAGCTGCAGGGAAACCAGAGACAGACGCGCTTTTTCGACTTCACTTTCCCTCCTCCTCTTTTTCCACCTCCTGTCATCCATAGATCTAAATCCAAGCAACACACCTGTGGCAGGTTTAAACGCAGTTGTGAAAGTTCAACCATTCCTGTGGGCTTTGCCACAGTGGCCTACGGTTCAACGTGTAATGGTTATGGGTAACCTGTTGGTCTTTGGAACCTGCAGAGAACTCAGGAACCTTGATCGTTCACCAGAGAGAGCATCTTAATACCTTAAAGGAACTTGATGCACCTGATCTGGTGGCTTCTTACTGCAGCAACAGGTGGAAATGAGATGCTACACTTTCAACTTGCAGCTAAAAATGATTCTTCTATTAATTTTCCTCAGAGATTTCAAGATTTGAGTCTGATCCTTCAAGTTAATCATCTCCACTTATTACAACACTACATTCTAGATTATAGAGATGAACAACTTATTGTTCATTTCATTAATGGATCAACAGTAAACATATCAGCACCTATTTTGTTGATAATGAATAATTTGCGGATATGAAAGAAATAAACCAAGTAAACCATCACGACAGGTGAAGTCAAATCAAATTGTAAAAGCTCGGTGGATAAACACAGACTGGTTTACATGTTTATAAATGTGATGAAGCAAAGTTTATATTAACAATGTATGTGTCATCTTGGTTTTCTGTTCAAACAAAAATCTGTTTGTAGAAACAGCCTTGATTAGTTTCGTGGAGCATAGCGCCACCCAGTGGTGATAGTGAATGATGATTCTGACCATATTGCTGACACGGTGACAGTGATCGGACGCAGCGGACACAACGGGCATTTTAACATCTTATAGCAGCAGAAACACAAATAAGATCAATAATAACGGCTTTGTTCAATTTAAATGTCACTCACAAGTTCCATGTTCCATGTTCGTGCCTTGATACTGTGAATCTTAATGAGCCTCACTTATGAACACAATTATTAACACTTGCTTTTTAAGGTTTATTCAGTAATTTGATTTGTCAGTAATATTTCATACTGAAGATGGTGTTTATTTATATGTTCCATTCATGTTTTAGTATTTCTAAACTAAATGAGGGTGCTCCACATTGACCGGCTGATATTTAAATATCAAATACATTGACATTACTGCCCCCATGTGGCAGTGAACCTATGACCAGTGTGCATTTCTGTCTGGAGTGTACTCACAGTGCATGATGAGGGTAAACCGGTCAGGGGGCTGCTTGGCTCTGTGGCCCAACTCGGACCCGGAGGTTGGTTTTCTTGCTCCGGCTCATCATCGATGAATATCACTCCCTGCTCCAGACGCTTCCTCTTCCGGCTCTGAGGACACTCAACATTAATGAACCACACGTTACTCAGCCTGTACGTTACAACCAGAACAAACCTCTTGTTTAAATGTACTTGTTCACTTAAATTCACTTCGATGCCACAGTGAAGTCGTCCTTCACTCTCGTAGATATAAAACATCATCATTTCATTATTGTATCTGTGATTTGTGAAGTCACAATGACCTTGATCTTTTAAATATAATAAGTTCATACTCAAGTCCAAATGAATATTTGTGACGAGGAAAAATAGATCTCAGGCCAGACAGACAGTTCAGACATATGTTTGATGTGCACAGATATTACTTTTCTTTATTTGACACCACAAGAGAGAGCGTTCATACGTTTAACCTCAACATATATCATAAGGACAATTCTGTAAAAGTGTACAACAGTATGTACGAAGCATCTATGATTACCTGGAGCTCAGCAGCCCGCATGCGTTTCCTGTCCGGCTGGAAGTCGTCGTCTTTGTTGCCTTCGGTGCTCAGGGAAGACTTGACCTTCTCAGACAGGCGAGAGGCTATGGATTGTGACTCCTCTTGTAACAGCGCTGTAACAAAATACAAATGTTTGAAATACATACAGTTACAGGAACTAGCATTAAGTGTGCAAATCTCTGTGTTTCTGATTTGACGGTTAAACTGAGCACCAACATACGTACAATGCTTTAGTTCCAGAACTGACGATAACTACTTTAGCTGAATGACAAAGAGAAACGAAGTTCAAATACTGGATGTCCAGTAGATGAACCTCTCACTGTCTGTTAAGAATATTTGTCCCCGGGGTTTTCTTTTTACAATTACTGTTCCACTTCGTGGAAATCCAAAATGAAACAGGTTCAGGAAAATGTATTTGGGATGAACATGTTCGAATGGTACAACAAACTTAAGACTTACAACGTTCAGGTGTCGGAGACAGCTGCTGTGTGATGCTTTGGTCTTTATGTGGTGACACAGTGAGGTCCACGACAGCAGGTTTGACTTCTCCTGCAGCCGCCACCCGTCCAGCTTTGCTGTGGCACGCACACTGACAGTGGGTCTTGACGTCTGGCTTCTTAAAGGCTTCAGGGTTTTTATCTGACTGCTTCTTCACTTCCGCTGGGCTTCCTCCTTCGTGCAGTTTAGCTGTCAACACACAATGGAAGAGAGTTATAACAGTGACACTGACTCTCTGTATGAATGTGAATTGATAAGATATTATTGATACTGTAATGGAAAACTTGCATAAGAACTTTGCTTGAACTCTTTCCTATGTCTGATCAATGCTCGTGTGCTGTGTTCCACAATAACTCATATAGAAACACAATTGTGTTTTCATAAGAGGAACTGTCCGGCGTACGTGCAGACGGACGATTCGAAACTAAACAGACACCTTTTACTTTTTTACCCTTAACTATCAAATGCCATGACTGTTGCTATGCACTTGGCAGATGTAACCTCAGAGTTTATGCCCTTTCTCGATGATGATGATCCTCTTGTTGATCCTGATCTGTGCAACTAGCAAACTTCTTCTTTCTTGCAGAAGTAAGAGCGGACAGCTTCCTGTGTTAACCAGACAGCAGTTGGCTTCAGTTTTCATGCTATTACTCAGAAACAGTTGTCTCTTATGTTTCCTGTTTACCTGACTGTATCAAAACCTTCTTCTTTCCCTATTCGGGGTTGTTCAGCTTTGAGTTAAATGGGTGAGGCATAGCCCAGTGGAACACTGCTCCACTGTTTAACAGCTATAAAGTTAATTATCTTCTCTTAGTCTTACCAAACTGAGCCTGCTGCCAGCCCAGAGCAGAGCAGAGCAAGGCTAAGCTTTTTCCACTTCCTGTGGGACTCTCCAGCAAACAGTGATGCCCATAGTTCAGCCCTCGGACGATCTGCAAACAAGATAAACACATTTAGTTGAAAGGGAGAGGTGTTATTTCATTGTGTCATCATTTAGCTTTATGTCCCTCCAGAGTCCGGTGACAAATACAACGATATAAAAAAAACTGTCCTCATTTAAAACACAGTAAAAACAGAAGTGGTCTTGTTTGGTTCCCCTTTCCCCGTCCAGGGTATAGAGAAGAATTTAGAACCTCTCGCACCTCAGTTACAAACCTAAGTTAAAAATGTTGGTGTCACCTTTGACCCTGTGTTGGCATTCAACATAGCTACACAGTCGTTATAGGTTGTTACTTTCAACTGAGAAATATTACGAAACTTAAACCCTTCCTCTCTAAACGACCTGAAGATACATTCATCACGTCACAACTGGATTAGTACAACACCTGCTTCCGCCCTCACACAATCTCACCTGTACTTGCATCTCTACACTGGCTCCCAGTGAACTACAGGATTCTGTAGGAGATCAAGTGTTCCTACATCTTGATGTAATTAAGGTTAAACTGTAGAAGAGCCAAATATTAACATCAGAGTTAAAAACGAGATGAGACAAAGTTCAGCATCGTGTTTCTTCATACTTCTTACAAATATTATAGTTATTGTGATGATGGTAATGGCATGCCAGTTATACTACTACTATCTTTAGAAAGACGGTGACAATATTATTAACAACGTCTTACTTAACCACCACCACATGTCGTTGAACATTAAGAATGAAAAACACGAAACAGCCCGGGGCACAAGAGTCGAGAGCAGTTGCAGCATCCTACAACGATTAGTTTGCACGAATAGAAATGAAGATTTGGAAGTAAACAAACAAACTATCTTTGATTTAGTGTAAAGACTGAGTCCAGCACAGACACAAGACACAGCTGGAGTAGAACTCCTGAGACCAACCTGTCCCACTGGTTTCACTGTGTATAATAATAATAATAATAATAATAATAATACTAAAGGCCAGTTCCACATGATACTGCACAACAAGCCTGAATCACAAGAGGCGATAATTATGTCACATCACTTCCTACCTTCATTTCAAATGAACACATGTCTCTGAAGCAGAAGCTGCACACCTGACGTGTTAAGTGGAGTTACTCACTGAGTTCATCATGGCCAGCTGGGATGGGTAGGCCTTGCAGGGGAAGTGGATCTTCACCCCTCCGATGGTGTACTCCACTCGGGACTTCGCCATGTTTCTCCTCCTCCCACGGATGTTTCTGAACGAGCAGGACACACGTGTGGATAAACCTGAGAGCAGCCTCCTGCTGTGTTCGTTAGCTCTGGAGCTAACGAGGCTAAGATTTGAATCGCACTGTTGAGAAGTTGAACAGGTGTTGTTGTGTTGTTGTTGTGTTGTTGTTGTTGTGTCTCCTACCTGAGGTTCGACAGAGGAAGTCACTCGTTAGCTTATTTCCCCGCTGTCCTGTAAACACTGTTTACATCCATGTTAACCTGCTGACACTGTGCACACACACACACACACATGTTCATTACACGCGAGCCGTGTCACCACTTCTCTACCCGCGATCTTTCCCGCGCTCCAAAATCACATCAAGACGTTTGACAGGAAGTGAGAGCGGTGCGACTTCCTGCGGCTGCTTTCAAAATAAAGTCCTTTTTTTGTGAGACATCGCACAACACGTCGCTTTACGTCCTCACTGAAAACCCTGTGGGTGAGTGCAGTCTCCCCCAGGAAGTACTCACTGGGTACAGGACAACACCAGCACCGACGGCACGAAGCGATTATCGCGCTTATATATTTGAAGCTGAGTGTGACAACCACAACTTGATTACGGAAGTGGTGCAGCGGAAGTAGACGTCAGCGTTGTTCCGGTCTTAAAGGAACATGCTGATGTTTACATGAGTGAGTTCAGTGTTGACATCTGTCCCCAGTTTGTTTTATTCTGTTAACCATGTGATCCAGCAGACATGTCCACATGTCCTCATGTCCTCATGTCCACATGTTCACATGTTCACATGTCCACATGTCCACATGTTCACAGTGTTAATAATTACATGCATTTCCATTGTCATAAATATAGGACTCATTTCTATGTGTATATTATTATTATTATTAGTAGTAGTAGTAGTATTATTAGTATTATATACTGATGCTGCCATTATTACTATAAACTGTTATTTTTATTATATACTGTTATTTTTATTATATACTGTTGTTATACTGGTATTGTATATATATATATATACAATACTATGTATATATTATGTATTATATTATATACTATATATACTGTACTATTATTATTATTATTATTATATACTGATGCTGCCATTATTTCTATATACTGTTATTTTATTGTATAATGTTGTTATACTGGTATTGTATATATATATATATATTATGTATTATATTATATACTATATATACTGTACTATTATTATTATTATTACCATCATCTTGCCACTGCACCTTATCTACCTATTTATCTTGTGTTTTTTAAGTGTCCTTGTCCTATTCTGTGTTTTTATTTTGTATTTTTATTGTATCCAAATCTATCTGTCCATCTATCTAGATAGATCTATGTTGTACACTCAAGCTGGCCAGTCTGTGTAATGATTTTTATTATCTCTTAATGAATAGAAATCATAGATGTAGGTCATGTGACAAAACCATCACAACCTGCTTTTCTTAGTTCAACATTATTTACCTTGGTTGGCAAGTTGACGGTACGTTTTCTGTCTCCTCAAACCTGGAAACACAACAGCCATTGTTGTGGAAATATTTTTACTGTTGGGTTGTGTGGTAGGCAGTGGTGCAGGAAACAATGCACACAGAGAGGAAGAATTGATTCCACTGAATATCAACAAGCTTTAGATGCAAATGCCGACGATGAACCAGTTCAAGAAACACAAGCGGAAGCTTTTGAATGGACCCTCACAGTCCCCTGAGTTAAACATCACTGAAAATCTGTGGATAGATGTTGTGCTGTAGTGCAGAGCACACAGAAATCAATTAAATAAAAAGTAACAGAGCATTACTATTTGAAGAAGGCTTCATTTTAATGTCCGTAGAGGTTGTTTTCGTTTCTTCAAAAATCAACACAGAGTGGAAAAAAGATTGTATTCATCTTGATCTGTATGTCTTTTATAATATGAGCAAAAACTAGAGCTGAAAAGGTAAAGGATGAGGACTTGTCACAGGCAGCTTGAAACTGTCATATTATTTCAAAAAGAAAAGGCATTTTCAATAGAACTATAAAAAACATTGCTCAATAAATTAGTAGCATATTAACAACAATTTTATTTTGTAATAAAAAAGCAAAAAATGCACATTTAATTATTGAATATTGATTGGTTTCTCACTTCAATATCAAATTTGTGTTTACGTAAATTTCTGAACAAATAAGAATCTTATCACGTACAAAATCAGGTACAGAGCAAATAGAAGTTAGATCTAATGGTTACCCTCAGTTTTATATTTAAAACATCTGAATGTAAAACAACATTCACTTTGTTCAGGTGTGTAACATGGAACACACATTACAGGCACCTTCTTGGAGAAGTGTCTCTGGTCATCAGTAGAAGTAGTTATAAAAGCCTCTCCAGTACCAGCAGGTACAGTTGAGGCCTGAAGCTATGAGCAGGATGACCAGGAGGGTGACAAACAGGCCGAAGCCAATGATGGTGGCAACAACGGCCCAAATGAGCGTCCTCTTGGACGTGTCGATCAGGGGTGACCTGAGGGCCATCCGCACCCTACGCGCCCGCCGGCGGTCCTGGGGAGGGTACCGAGCCAAGTTGACATTCTCCATGCCCAGAGACCGGACCAGACACGCCCTCTGGTGGCTTAGCTGGTCAAAGGTGTGTTTTCCATGGTAACGGCCCATACCACTCTGACCTGGAGGAGGCACAAATGAGTTATGTGTTTTCAGCTAAAATAGCATTTCTGCCTGACTGAAACCAACACAGCAACACTGTTGTTGGGCTGCAGGAATTGGCGTGTAATCTATATACCAAAGTATGAATCACCATCTATGTGGCTGAGTTTAAAAGTGAGAGTGTCATTCCCTAAAATGATCAGTCAGTTAATCATTCATCCATCTAGACATCGTCTACATCTCTTATCCTTCACAGGGGGGGAGCTGGAGCTAATCCCAGCTGACACTGGGCAAAAGACATGAAAAGGCTGGTACACAGAGACAAACAACCAATAATGAATGTGTTTGAACTGCTGGAGTCAGTAAGAGTCAGTCTTACCAACACCACCGAACGGCAGAGAGCTGAGCGTGTAGTGTATCATCACGTCGTTAACCGTCACTCCTCCGCTCGTGGTCTCATCAATCATCCTTTTTGAAGCCTTCGAGAGACAAGGGAAGAAAAGAGACACCTAAAGAAAAGTTTCATCCCTACATTAAAAATGAAATCTCTTGTTTTCCTGCTGTTTCCTCTCACCTTCTTGTCAGTGCAGAAGATGTACAGGGCCAGAGGTTTCTCTCTCTCGTTGATGAAGTTAATGGCATCATCCATGTCACTCACAGTGACGATGGGCAGCAGAGGACCAAAGATCTCCTCCTGCATCAGTCTGGAGTGGGGAGGCACATCTTTCAGGACTGTCGGGGCTTTAAGTGAAGCATCAACGTTCATAAAACAGAAATACAGACCACACAAAACTGAATTGTTGTATAGTCTGAACAGAGTGTACGTTCCTACCGATGTAGCATTGTGAAGCATCACTCTGGCCCCCCACCACTGGAGTGTAACCCTCCATCAGACCCATAACTCTGTTAAAGTGACGCTGGTTGATAACTCGGCCGTAGTCAGGTGAGCATTTGGGATCAGCTCCGTAAAACTCCTGTGATGGATTGAAAGGTCTTGATAAAACACCAGGCAGCAGCGCTTTGCATTTGCATGTCAGGACAGAGCAGTTAAGGGTTTAAATGTTACCAGCAGAGTTTGTCGGATGCATTCCACCACCTGACCCTGGATGCAGGGTTCACACAGGATGTAGTCTGGAGCGATGCAGGTCTGACCACAGTTGATGAACTTTCCCCACGTGACACGACTGCACACAAACAATGTATGGAAGCATTAATGAACAGTGTTCATCACTGTGAGCATTTATACTGTGAAAGTGTTTTAAATCATTCAGATACTTTTATTTTTTGGCAGATAGATAAAGTATCACACCACCAGTGTGTGTTTTATGTGTTCTGTCCTAAGAACCTGCAATTATTATATATTTGTAATGTTTTCTAAACCAATAAGAGTTAAACATTTGGTTCTGTGTCTTGTCGACAGCCATTGGTTTGCATTTGTTTTAGATCACTACGCTTAAAAAATAACTTGCAGACATAAGATTGCTGCTCCCTTCATCTCTGTCTGACTTTTTTTATTTGTTTGAATTCTTAAAAAAATGATACACCTCTACATTTATATTAGATGATGTCTTTTCTCATGAATGAAACACAGGGCTGTACTATGAGCACAAACTACAAATTGCTCAATCTGTGTAACTCTGTGTACAGTTGCTGGTGATTTGAGTCGTTCTGATGAGTGTGTTACCGGCAGGCAGTTCTGATGTCACAGTTCTTGTCAATGTAACAGGGACTCTTCCCTCCCAGTTCCAGGGTCACTGGAGTGAGGTGGCGAGCTGCAGCCTCCATCACCAGTTTACCGACCGTGCTGTTTCCTGTGTAGAAGACATGGTCAAACCTCAGCCTCAGCAGCTCCTGGGTCTCAGACGCGCCACCCATCACTACTGGGTACAGGTCCTGAAAACAACCAGCATGAAAACCACAGTTTAAAGGTACTTCATTAACTCTTAATGTAATAAAGGTTCCTTTATGATAAAGCCAGTGAGTGGACGTCGCTTGCTTCGTGAAACAACTATTTGTAAAGTCAATAATGACTCATCACACACAATTCTTAATATTGCATGACTGGGTCAAAGGGAAGATTTTAAAAGTCATTAGGTCACCAACATTGTTGGTGTTTATCGTCTGAAGACAATGGAAAATAAGTAAAACATTCCTGCTCATCACGAAATTGACAAGAGATCTTCTTCTGGACTAAAGTGCTGGAGTGTCCCAAGTCCAAAGACCTGTTCTGACAATCCAGCTGGGACTAAAATGGCATCCTCAACCAGTGAATACTTGACCTTTAAAGTATTGTACTGTGTTGACACAAGGCTTCAGCGTGACAGAAACTATGAGCGTTATTCAGACCTTGTCTAGATAGCGAGGCAGCAGCGCCCGGAGGAGGAGGGAAGAATACTCGCTGAGCTCGGACGGCTTCACCACAGCTGCGTTGCCTGCAGAGACAGAGCACAGCTTTCTGTGAATGGGATGAGATCACTGAGTGACGGAGAGCAGACAAGCAGAGCTGGGGAGCGTTGTCAAATGTTCACAGCAGGATGGTTTACTGACACTTCAAGTTTGACCAACATGCATTACCACCAACATTAAGTGATATCCTTATTAGCAGGTCATAACAATGTCAACAATATGGTATTACATTATTTACATTTAAAATAGTAAAAATAAACAGTGCACATACTACTAGTACTATTCAAAGTACTCTTGATTGATTGATTGATGATTGATTGATTGATTGATTGATAGGCCTGG